AAGAAAAATGACCATAGGGTGGGTGGTCTCTTGATCCCTCTCCAGCCCCAGGACCTCGAAGAGGGTCGCCAGGGAATGAACCTCAGCATCTCCACGCTCCTCCCTCCACAGCCTCCCGACGCCTCCCCGGCGGCCTCCACCAGGTCCAAGCAGGAGAGGGACCCCGAGGCCAGGAGCCCACACCTCGTGCTGGACGGCCGATGGCCACAGGGGGCCACGCTCAGACGGGGCAGCCCGGGGCTCTGAGCCTTTCACCCAGGGCGACCTCAGCCCTGCTCGACAGGACGGGGACGTCCCCTGTGCAAGACAAGGCTGCACCACAACCCACATCCCGCTGCGGTTTCCGCCGGTGGCCTGCCTGCCAGCCACAGACACGTGGGCCACCCGGGGCGCTCCCACGGGGCCTGTGTGTGGCCACAGGAGAGGGAGAGGGTTCCCCAAGGTGGACGGGGTGACGTCAGGACGGCCGAGTCTCACCCGCAGAACCCAGCGGAACCGCTGTGGACGGAGCCGCAGCCCCAAGTCCAACCTGACCACTTGGTGACAGTGTCTGGTCACTACGCTGGGCCCGTGTGTGTCTACACAGGGCTGCCGGGTGGGGCGGTCCCTACAGTTCTTCCCTCAGTGTCTTCCTCTGCTGTTGTTCATCGTGGTCACCTGAGGCTACTTTCCGTTGATTTTTATTTTTTTAAATATATTTTTATTGTTTTTATTGATTTTTTTTACAGAGAGGAAGAGAGTTAGAAACATCCATCAGTTGCCTCCTGCACGCCCGCTCCAAGGGATGTGCCGGCAACCAAGGTACATGCCCTTGACCGGAATCGAACCTGGGACCCTTCAGTCCACAGGCCGACGCTCTATCCACTGAGCCACACCGCTCAGGACTCCATTGATTTTTAGAGAGAGTGAAGGGAGGGGGAGAGACAGAGAGAAACATTCCTGGGAGAGAGAACATGTGCTCCTAAGTATTTAACGCTCCTGGTTATGAATGTGACAATTTTTTCAGACAAGCGCGCCCCCTACTGTCGGTGTGGTGAGGTACAGGTTCTTATTAGGGGAAGAGGTTTCTGTCCTTCCCTCCCCCCAGCCTTGCAAAATCCTCATTTCCCCTTTTTTCTGCTTTTTCCCTTAACCCTGCAGAGTCCAAAGTGCGCCCTTCCTCTAGTTTCTTCCCGCTGGAGAGGCGCCTTTCTCAGGCACGGTCGGTGCCTGGTCGGTCAGAATGTTTGGGTTTTGTTACTGTTTGCACACCTGCCTCTCTGTCTGATGGTGGTTTCCACAGAGCCCCGGGCCCGCCGGCTGCACGTGCATCGCACGGTTTTTCTTTTGTATCGATGGCTGCGTGGGGAGAGGGGAAGATGCAGAATATATCTCGGCTGCCACCGTGTGTGCGAGCCTTCGCTTTGACTTATTGAACTTAAATCAACCTGATTCCGGTCATCCACGCACAGGGTTCAAATGTGTTAAAAACATGGAAAGAGGGTGGGAGCGAGGCTCCTTAAACACGGGTGGGCTTTCCCTTTTCAATGTACTTTTAAATTATGTATAATTTCGGGCATTCTTTTTGCCCTTGCCTGAGGATATGTTTTTATTGAGAGGAGAGAGAGAGAGAGAGAGAGAGAGAGAGAGAGAGAGAGAGTTCCCAGGGGAGTCCACGCGAAGGACCCAACCCAAGTCCGAGGCTGCGCGTTTTGCTTCCCGCGAAGCTCCGCCGCTGGGACAAGCCCCCCGGGCGGGCGTGACTTTCGGGGAGCCCCTCTGCTGCCGGAAACCCCGATTTCACACGCGCCTTCCCGGGCACCGGCTGCTCGCTCACTGTCGCTCGGTTGCCACAGCCTTTCACCACTCGCTCTGTTTCCATGACGATGTCAAACTCTAAGGCCACTGACCCAGTGCGTGCCCACCTGCCTGCACCCAAGTTCCATCCCTATGAGCCACAGGTGCAGACGCGATTTGTGTCCCACTGTGCGCTGCCCGCGAGTAGTAGGTCCATCTCCCCCGCCGCCCGCTCCCAGCTCGAGTCCTGACAGAGGGTCAAACCCGCCACCCAGGTATGTGCCCCAACCTGGAATCGAACCCGAGACCTTGGGGTGCCCAGGGCAACGCTCACCCGGCTGAGCCACGCGGGCCAGGGCTGCCCCGCTCTTACACGTTATGTGGGAGACACCTTCCTGCGCAGCCGCCACAGCCCCGGGTCCCCGAAAAGCCCGGAACAGTGAAGACTCCCCGTCCATGGACCATGGATCCCCCCAGCCGGACCCCACTTCCACCCCCAGCCTAAGGCCCCTAGAGCCACCCCCAGGTGAGCCCCGAACTCAGCCAATCACGGCGCGTTAGCCGACCCCCAACCCCACCCAGGGGAGCCAGGCGGGCGGGGCTTGATGCCAATGAACCTCATCGGGGAGACCCTGCTGAGGAGGGACCTGGACCCCCGATCAAGGGGAGTTGGGGGGCGGGGGGCCTCCAGGTTCCCAGGTCCAGCAGGTCCGAGGCTGCGCGTTTCCCTTCCCGCCAAGCTCCCCGCCGCTGGGACAAGTCCCTGGGCGGGCTTGACTTTCGGGGAGCCCGTCTGCTGCAGGAAACCCCGATTTCACACGCGCCTTCCCGGGCACCGGCTGCTCGCTCACTGTCGCTCGGTTGCCACAGCCTTTCACCATTCGCTCTGAGACCATTCGATGTCAAACTCTAAGGCCACTGACCCAGCGCGTGCCACCTGCCTGCGCCCAGCCCCATCCCTATGAGCCACAGGTGCAGACGCGATTTGTGGTCCCACTGTGCGCTGCCCGCGGGTAGTAGGTCCATCTCCCCCGCCGCCCGCTCCCAGCTCCTGAAGCTGACAGCCTCATACAGGGACCCATACAGCGACGTTTCCCTCCCAGGACAATATGTCCTTGTGTGGGTGGGCCACATATTTTTAAAATATATTTTTTTTATTAATTTCAGAGCAGGAGAGGGAGATAGAAACATCAATGAGATGAGAATCATTGATCAGCTGCCTCCTGCATGCCCCCTACTGGGGATCGAGCCTGCAACCTGGGCATGTGCCCTTGACTGGAATCGAACCCTTCTGTCTGCAGGCCGACACTCTATCCACTGAGCCACACCGGCTAAGGATGGACATAACTTTAGGGGCCACCATCAACCCGGCATAGACGCCCAGCCTCGGGGTGAAGTGGCCCCTGGTGACGGTCACCAGTCAGGCAGGTGGGATGGTTTCCATGTCCCTCAAGGAGAGCCGGGTGTCTCCTGGGCCACAGGGCCCAGCCGGGCAAACACCAGCCCAGCCGGCACCCGGCTAGCGCCTGTCACCA